CAACCCAATCCACATGTGATTTCTGCCATTCTTTGCCTTCTTCTTATTTGTTTGTGTTTGCTTTAACATCTCTGAACCATTGTTTTCTGTTCTTATTGGTTAAAAAAAAAAGTGAGAAGGGAGTGATGCCAGCAGGAAGGGTGGATTAAGTACTTCAGAAAATCCTGTCCCTGTAAAATCAATAAAATCACTGGCAACAATTGTCAAAATCAGCTTTTTAAGAGTTTGAAATTAACCAAAGACTTGCACCATTCTGAAGTATTTAGGGGAAAAGACTGAATATCATTAAGAACAGTGAGCTTTGTGTTGTTTTAGCTTGCCCTATCCCATTCTGATCTTTCAAGTCATATGGAAATGCAAGGGACCCAGAATAGTAAAAATAATCTCAAAAAAGAAGAATGAGGCTGGAGGACTCACACTTCCCAAATTCAAAACTTTCTACAAAAACAAACAAACAAAGAGCACTTAATACAAGGCTATAGTAAGCAAGACTGTGTGGTACTGGTATAAGGACAGATTTGAGAGTTCAAAAATAAGTCTTTCTATTTATGCTCAGTTGATTTTCAAAAAGGATGCTAAGACAACTTAATGGGCAAAAATTAACTCAAAATAGATCAAAGAGCTAAAACTATAAAACTGTTAGAGGAAACATAGGTGTAAATCTTCATGACCTTAAATTAGATAATGGTTTTTTAGCTAGTATATCAAAAGCACACATAATCAAAGAAAAGATAGAAAATTGGATTTCATTAAAATTTAAAACTTTTGTATTTCAAAGACTACCATGGGGGAAAAAAATGCAAATCATGTATCTCATAAGATCTAGTGTCCAGAATATGTAGAATCTCTTATAACTGAACAAAAAGATAAGTAATCTAACTTTTAAAATAGGCGAAGACTTAGACATTTCTTCAAAGATGTGCAAATGGCCAATAAGCATACAAAAAATGCTCTACATCATTAGTCATTAGAGAACTGCAAATCAAAAGCACAATTTAATATCACTTCACTTCTATTAGGATGGCTATAATTTAAAAAAAAAAGATGGACAGCGTAACAAATATTGGTGAATATGTGGAGAAATCGTCACTCTCATACATTGCTAGTGGACATGTGAATGTGTTGCCACTTTAGAAAGTAGTTTGGCAGCTCCTCAGAAAGTTAAATGCAGGTACCATATGACCTAACAATTCCACTCCTACACATACTCCCAAGAGAACTGAAACTTATGTTTAAATAAAAATTTGTACACAAATGTTTATAGCAGCATTATTCATAATAGCCAAAAGGTGGAAACAACTCAAATGTTCATCAACTGATGAGTGGATAAATAATAATAAAATGTGGTATATACATAAAATGGAATATTATTCAGCCTCAGAAAAGAATGAAATTCAGATACATGCTACAACATATTGAACCTTGACGGTATTAAGCCAGTCACAAAATGTTACGTATTATAGGATTCCATTCATACGAAATTTCCAGAATAGGCAAATCCATATAGATAGAAAGTAGATTCGTGGTTTCCAGAGGCTAGGGTGAGGGAAAAATGAGGAATCACTGCTAATGGGTATGGAATTTCCTTTTGGGATAATGAAAAGATTCCAGAAATAGCAGTGGTAATTGTTGCACAATTTTATTAATATACTAAAAACCACTGGATTTCATTAAAAGGGTGAATTTTATTGTATGTAAATTGTGTCCAAGATTAACTTCCAGATGTCATTCTCATGAGAGTGGAATAAATGTAATATTTAACAAAGAAAACCTCAACACACACTCAGTGGTAAAATGATTCTTTTTAAAATAGAAGAAATAACTCACCAACAATGTTATCAAGTTCTACAATAGCAATTTTGTTAGTGACAGTCCAGGTTAAGTCACCATCCCTGATATTGATATCTTCCTCATTCTTTATTCAATCACTAAAACTCATTTAAAATGTGCCATGTTCCTTCTAGTTCAATTTAGCTCTAACATGACCATAAAATAAACTCTGACACTGAAGCCACAGCCAGGATAACAATTTCAACTCAAGGGCCAACTCGGATTGCTTAGTAATGGCTACATGAAGCACTGTGTTTAGAAGGATTCTGAGGCTATATCCAGGCTGAGCAGAAAAAATAATGTAATGATAAATTGAGAAAAACTGCCTTGAGCTTGGCAGTGGTAGTACAAGTGAGTACCACTTAAGCTAGTTATTCGATCTAGGAAAATGCATTATTCTTTGGAGTGGATACAAAATCAGTTGAATAGATAAATCTTTAGGTGAGTCATAATACAGCTAATAGGTACATTCACACAGCATGACCTAAAAGTGAACTTGAAGCCTGTAATTTACATGCAAAATCGCAAATTTTTGAAATAGCCAACATTTATGTCCGAGAGTCAAAATCACTCAGTAAAAAGCACCAACTTTCATACTGTGTAATATCAAGGTATTTTAAATAGCACACTTTATATAGTATGTGCTCTCAAAGAGTCTTAACACGAGAGCATTAGCATATCCTTATAATAAAATCTGATATAGTGAGAGCGAATGTCAAGAGAGATTTTTTTATGACGGTCACTGTAAAATCAAAATACTCATGGACTCTGTGAGCCTGCTATAACACACATTACCTCGAAGTACAACTGTTTCCTTCCTCCTTTACTTGCTACAGTAGCCTGCTTTTTCTTTGATAAATAAGAGGTGTCTAGAGAATGGGTCTTGTTTCTGTCACATATGGTAAAACAGTGGTTCTCAAATTTTAGTTCCCTAGACCAGCAGCATCAGCATCACCTAGAACTTCTCAGAAATGCAATCTTTTAGAAATGCAGTGTCACTTAAGGTCTACTGGATCAGAAACTCTAGGAGTGTACCCAGCAATCTGTACAAATCCTCCTGGTGACTCTGGGCTCAGGTTTGAGATCTATGGAATGGGGAAAAGAGAGAGTAGGAGAACAAGAGAAGTCGGGGAAGTGTCCCAGGGAGAAGTGGGCCTCAGCTGGCAGCAAAGTTGGCACGGGATCTGATCCTCTATAAGAGCCAGTGAGCACTTTCTTTGTTTATTTCCTCTTTTATACTCCATGTACCAACTCTCTACTTCCTTAGGAAAGGTTTGAAATGCTCTCAGGATCTCTCCCAGTCCTCATCCCCACCCTCCAACCCCAACTACCAGCCTACTTAGAGTCCCTTCTTTTAAGGCCAAAGCAGAAAGTGGCGAATGGAAGATAGTGCTCATACATGTCATGATGAAGCAGCATTTTTATTAAAAAATAAAAAAGAAGGGTTGGCATCAAGATCCTCAGTTTAGTACATCAAAACCCAACAGGCCCCACAGCTAGTAAATGTGTGTGAAGCACTTAGAACAGTACATGGTTCACAGTGAGCGTTCACTGTATGTAGGAGGCAATGCTGTTGATGGCGATTACTGCAAGGGCCAGATTTCTCCACAGAGGGGCCTGGGTTGGCATCTAGAAGCAGTTGCTATTTGTACCCAGTGGGTGGTTGCTATGTTAAGAAGACTGCCAGCTGAAGATAGATCTGGATCTTGAAATCCTTCGCAGGCAAGGGAGTCTCCCTGAAGACAATGCCCTCACTGTGTCCCAACTGTGATGATGGTTATTAGCTGCGCTGCAGCTGGCGTGTCAGTACTCACCACGGAGACAAGGGTCCTGGCTAGGATTGACAATTACAACAACAAGCATGGGAGGGACTGATTAACAACAAGCAAAGCAAAGAGGCATTTCAGGGCCTTTCTAGTAAGAGTTTTGTGTTGGGGAACCCAAAATGCAAGGGGTGGAGTGGGTGGTTACATGATGAAAGACAGCAGGTTAGGTGCTGGCCACTAAATGTGGGAACCTCTGAGCAAGCATGAAGGTCTGCAGGCCAGAAAGGCAGTGGGTCTCAGACCCACAGGCAATCAGATCACTGCTGTAGGAAGCCGATGACCAGAATTAGATTTGGAAGGCTCAAGCTAAGGTTTTTGGTTCCAATTTTACACACACACACACACACACACACACATGTTCTATATCCTGGCATAGCCAGCAGAGCACCACTTGTCAATATTAGGAAGATGGGAGAAAAGGTGCAGGAGGAGGGAAGACGGATGGAGAGAGGGAAGGCAAAGGACAGGGAAGAGGGTGAATCAGGAGTTGGGGGAAGGGAAGGAGAAGACAGAGGAGAAAGGGAAAAAGGAAGAAGGAGGGAGTGAGAAAAAGGAGGTAGGGATGGAGGAGAAGGAAATGATGATTGCTAGTCCCAGACTGCCCACTGCTTTCCAAGCCCTGTCCTACATGTTTTGTATATGCTTTCTCATTTAGTTATCAGAACTATGAGATTTGGTTATGGAGGAGTCTAGAAACTCTAAGGAGAGTCTTATTCCTAATGAATAAGAAATTAGGTTACAATGATCTTTTTCAGGTTAGGCTCCAAGATCTGAGGGAACCAAACCAATTCAAGCTACTATAATAATGCAAGTTAAATGCAGATTGAATCATTAGGTGTGAGGGGAGCCATGGAAGGAGAAGGTTGAATTTGCTCCAGTCTTGGGTGTTTCCCCTATTCATCCTGTTCCTCCGGATTCTGAAGTCCCTTAGCCTGGGTTCTCAAACTCATATGCATATAAACACCAGGTAGGTGAATGAAATGTGCTAAGTGGGCCTGGTATAAGATAATAACAGGCAACAGACACTTCGCTTCAATGTCAGGAGGTGATAAGGAGTAGTAGGGATTATTGCAAAGTGGAGCTTACCTGCCACCCTCTGAAGAGGCAGCACTACTCAGCTCCAGCCTGTTGTTGTCGTGTATCATGTATAAGTGGCCTCAGTGTTGCTGGACCTTCCGAATTTCACAAGAAGGCGAAAATCCAGCAATTAGAAAACATTCAGGGGGCTAATAAAATGCATTTGCAGGCTGTACCTGCCCTCAGTTTGACTGGGCCACAGTTGTGTAGTTTCTTGAGTTGCCAGCAGAAGATTGATCCCCTCCCTGTGTTATTTTCTCTTTCCAGGCCATTACATTTATGTGGACACCTCCTTTGCTAAACAGGGGGAGAAAGCTGTGTTGCTAAGTTCTGACTTACAGGCTGAGGAATGGAGCTGCCTCCGATTGGTCTACCAGATAACCACATCTTCTGGGTCTTCATCAGATCCCAGCCAGTTGAACCTCTACGTGAGATTTGAAGATGAAAGCTTTGATCGCTTGCTTTGGTCAGCTAAGGAACCTTCAGACAGCTGGCTCATAGCCAGCCTTGATTTGCAAAACAGTTCCAAGAAATTCAAGGCAGGTAGAATTTTGGAAAAAGGTACAAGGCTTACCTGTCGCTATTCTGAGATCTTCTAAAAACTTCCGTTATTGAAGTTAGTTAACTCCTGTGTTAGGATATGACATTTTACAAGAGCTGCATCAGAGAAGAATATTAGTAATGGAAATTAATATGTTGGTTATTCCTTAAAAGAGCTTCTTTCCAGATTTCTTTTCTATCTATTTAAATGGGACTTCAGTACAAATCTAAATGGGACTTAAACCAATCTCTTCAATGGAAATTTATTTTCTAATGGGCTTTAAGAGAGCATTCTCCTTTCTTATAATTTTATTTCATCCTTCTAAGTTGCGTGTGATATATGTTTATGTTATCTTCCTAATGGTCTGTTTGCTACAAATCTTAAACAAAACATTAACCATAATAAAAGGAAAAATGAAAAGTACTTTCCTACTTTGAAAAAGGAAAGTTACTTAAAGGACGTACTCTGATTCCTTTTCAAAGATTGAAATTGTTCCACTGGAAGTTTTGGAAAAGGAAGGTAGAGTGTGTAAGATAAAGTTGGATATGGATTGGAGTAGGGAAGGAGGATGGGTCTGGATTCACTTGGCCATAAAGTTTGATATTTAGTGAGAGTATGTCACAGAGTATACAATGGAGGCTTCATGAAAATGTTCTCAATTCTTAACTCCCTTTTCAATTTCCTATCCCATCCCACTTCTTTAAAAAGTTTTCAAACCTCCTCTGCCCATGTCTGTTTGTAGTCCCTCCCCATCAGCCAGAGGGAAGCAGCACTGAGGGTCTGAGTTGCCTGTTTCACAACATCCTCCCAACAGTATATCACACTCTAAATCTACCAACATGGTTACAGAATATCGGGCTAAAATCACCTAAGGAAAAGCAAATAGCATTAGAAACAAAACCAAATGTGAACCATAACAGTACTTGAAACCAGCCACATAAATTGTTGTGGTTCTGTTTGTGTAAAATTTTCAAATTTTTCAGCAATATAGAAACTGCAATTAGTTGATTTATGAGCTTCCTCCATCTCATGCAGAGATCTCCCACTGCTAGTCAAATTATGCTTCCTACCTCCTCCTTCAAGGGATTTTTTTTCCCCCCCTGAAGCCTCTCCCTTCTATTCCTGATCATTCTCAGAATGGATTTCCCCAGAGAAACAAGCTCTCCTCATCATCCACAGCCAGTTGGTGCTACCGCAAGCACTGGAGAAGGTGCTTGGAGTAACAGTGGAAGGCAGCTGACTCTGACCTTATATTGGACATCTTGCTCACCTCAAAGTTCTAAGAATATATGAACACACATTCTTTTTATAAAGTCCATCATAAGACTGGTATCGAATAGCAATTAGCTGAGACAGACAATCTCATTTTGCCTTGAATTGCTGAATAGTTCCTAATAGCTAAAATACTGAAGCGAAGAAACATGATGTTTTGAAGTTTAACTCCCTTTTCCATGTGTTTTGCAGATTTTAATAGAAGGTGTACTAGGACAGGGAAACACAGCCAGCATTGCACTCTTTGAAATCAAAATGACAACCGGCTACTGTATTGGTAAGTGAGTTTGAACGTGAATCTTTTTCTAAAATCAACTGTTGCCAGAGGGAATTGAATCAACACTAAAGGCAAAGTATTTTATAGAATGCACTGCATTATGCATAATAGTTTAAATTCTTTGGTAGGTTCACTTGAATGGCGTGTTTTGTTTCTCTGTCTTTAGCATAAAAAGGCTCATTAGAGTTTGCCTGGACTGGCTGGATTAATGAAAGAAAAGTAGATGCAGCAACTATAACCTGAGTTGCTGCCTTAAGCTCAGCATATTCTAATAAAAATAATTTCCAGTTTGCTGTGAACTCAGCTTTTTGTAGCATTTTCCAGAAAAGCAGGTGTCATATTACCACCTCTCCTCACTTTATTCCATCTTTCTCTCGCACACCGTTGCTCCTATCTTTATATTCACAGTTGTCACTTAGATTCTACTTGAGCAGGGTTGGTTTGATGCCTTGTATGTGCCAGCTTCTGAGAGGGGGAAGGAAAACATAGTCCATGTCCTGTGGTCACTCACCTTTCATTTGTCTACTCCTTAAGCTATTTCTAAATATGATAAATATTGCTAGAGAAAGACAAGTCGTGCTGTAGAGGTTTGGGGGGAGGGGAGGAAATCGGAGAGGACTGAAATCAGGTGATGCATTTAAACTAGTGTTTCAGGAAGAAACAGAATTCACTTAAGTAAAGGTGTAGAGTCGGAAGAATCCAGTGGGGAGAAAGTGCAGAGCATGCTCACACGAAGGCAAGAAGCTGAGTAGGGCGTTTGAAGTGAGAATCAGGACAGCTAAGGGAGTTTGTTAAGGAAGAGTCTGGATCCAGGTTGTGGAGCTTGGATTAATGAATTAAGTGCCTGGGAGGAACTGAAAGTCAGTCAGCAGGGGAGGGGCCTGCAGCTGTGTTTTTTCAGATGATGACTCTGGCTGCCACTTGGAAAATGCGTTAGAAACAAGGAAAATACATAAGATAGGAATACATAAGAGATAGGAAAATACGTAAGAGATAGGAAACCCCTTAGGGAGTGATTGTGACCTGACAGAGGGGACATAATGAGGGTCTAAAATTGGGTTTGGCGATGGAATAGGAAAAAAGTGGTAGATTTGAGAGATTTTTCAGCACTGACTGTACTTGGAGGTTGAATGGCTGTGGAAAGGAAGAAAGAGGCAAAGGTGATTTTGAACACAAAAGAGAGTTTGCTAATTCCCAGAATCTCACTTCTCTGTTTGGACCTTCCAATGATGACGCTAATGCAAGTGAAAGAAAACAGACTGAGAATGTGACAGCCAAGCTCCCTTCCTTGACCTTCTCATAGCTACCATGTGGTGGCTGCATAGGTCTCAGACAACTGGCTGACTAGTCAGACACGTCAGGTGGAGCAGCACTTGCTGGCTCAGTCAGCTCACAGGGCTGCACAGCCTCTATGTTATCGCCCGCACATTGGGGATAAAATGCTTCCCTCATAGGATTACTTTGGGGACTAAGGAAATTACGGATATGAAGGTTATTCATGCGGTGCCGGACACTCGAGAAATGTCAGTTGGCTTCCTTCAAGTCACTTGTTGACTTCTGGTTTGTTTAAAAAACAAAGGCGTGCCAATATTTTTATCTTGTTAAATTTATACTCACACTCTGACCTCTTCTTTCTTTCTGTGCACTCTCTTTGCTACTCTCAGTTCCTTATCTTTAAAACAGCATTAATAATAGTACCTACTTCATGGGGTTGTTTTGTGGATTAAATAAGTTAATTCATATAAAGCGCTTATAAGAGCGCCGGACACATTAAAGGGTATTTTGCTTTTTATTTTACTCCATAGCAGTCTTTGGCATTGCATGTTGAACATTGGTTAGCAGATGCTGCAATGGAAAAGTTACAAATGAAAATCTTAAAAATTTTCAATGCTTGCTAATGTAAAAACATGTCAATAATTATATCAGTCATGGTCCTGGCAGGAAAGTGGAAACAGAGGGTGCATTCAACCTGAGTAATTTGAGGAAAATTTAGCAAGGTATTACGAAGGTGCGATTGGGTAAGGGAAACCAGAGAGGGGTAGCGTGGTGATCCAGGACTAGTAACAGTGATGATTCATGAGCTGCTACCATCTTTAGATCTGAACGAGCAAGGGAAGAGGGTTACAAGAACCTGGAGACAGAAACTGTGTGGTGAGAGCTTCTTGACAAGAGCTGTGTCCTCAGTAGAGGGACAGAGCTGACCCATGGTGACCTGGCAGGGAGGATGCTGAAGGAATAAACACCCCAAACCTCATTCTTTTCCAACCTTCCTTTGGTCGAATCCAACAGATAACCAGAAGGCAGAGAGGCTCAATGATACAGCCTACACAGGTCAACCTCTGGAGGACAGGGCAGGGTGAAAAAAAGGAGGGTGGATTTGGAAGGGCTAATGGGAGATAGCCAGCACAGTCACACTTCATATATGTAATTGATGTTTATGGAGGACAGTGAAGGCACTGGCTGGTGAGTTTTTTGTTCCCACTACAGCATTCTGTTGACTGGGAACGATTTATCCATGCAAACACGTCAATGCTACTAAAATAGGGTGGGGTGGAGGTGAGTCTCTTTATCTTCTATCTCTTCTCTACTGGGTAGACACAGAAGGACCCAGAGCCTAGGACATACCTTCTCTCACTATTCTAACTGGGTTCTTGTTTATAAGAGAAGCAGAGGCTTTTAGCATTAGGAAACATGCCCCTTAGCTCTGCATGTTTTGTCCACCATCAGGAGAGAAGCAGATGGAAGATTGGGCTACCAGGTGCGAGAAAAGGTGGAGGATAAAATTTCTGGAACTAAGAGCATAGCCCTAAACAGTGGTTTGAAACAGAGATGGATGATAAAAATGGCTGGCTTTTACCAAGCACCAACACCTGGCATTGTGTTGGGAGCTGTCCACATGTATAATAACCCTATGAGGTGGGAACATTGCCCTCATTTCGCATATGAAGAAACAGAGGCTAAGAGAGGTAATGAGTCACTCTCTGCATGCAAGATGGCTAATAAGTGGAAGGGCCACAATCCAGAAAGGCGATGATAAATTACAATCTCTGTTCACTACAGGATCTTTCTTCTTGACTAATGTCATGCCAGGGATCTGGTGCAAATGTTCCAGTGGGCAAAGGGAGTGAGAAACATATTTTTATATCTAAAAGCAGACTCTTTAGTGAATATGGGTGTACCCAGGGGTGACTATGTCTCCATGAGATGTGTTTTTATCTCTCTTCTGCCAGAATGTGACTTTGAAGAAAATCATCTCTGTGGCTTTGTGAACCGCTGGAACCCCAACGTGAACTGGTTTGTCGGAGGAGGAACTACTCGAAACTCCCACTCCATTCTCCCGCAGGATCACACCTTCAGGAATGAACTGGGTAAGCTGGGGGAAAATGGTAACTATTTCTGCATTCTCTTCCTGCCCTCCTGCATTGGCCTAACTGGGGCTCTGTCAACAGAGAAGGGAGGAGACAGGAGGATGAATGAGAGACCAGGAGGCCTGGTGGAAGAGTAGGGAAGCATAAGCTGTTAGATAAAGACAAATTTCAGACAAAAGAGCTATAGCTAAGAGGAAAGCCACCCAGTTAAAGGCTTTTCTTCACCTGTGACCTGGTCTCGCTGTTGTCTCATTTCCATATTATGCTTTATCTTCTTATCTATTTGGCATTCAGGATTTCTTAATTCTAAAGATAAGGCTGGAATAATCCTAGGTCATTTTTCTCTAAAAATAGATTGAATGATGGAAACAAGTTCTTAAGAACATCCCAAGTAGCAGTGAGGTGAGCCGAGACCAAAGATTAATCCTGAATGTGGTGTGCAGCAGGGCCCCCTAGTGGTCACGTGAGCCGGTTCTCAAGGGCAAGGTAGAGCAAGAGAGCAAAAGAATGCCCCAGAAACGATTTCTTTAAATAAGACTAGGATCACTTACATAAGGAATTGAGATTTGAAAACAAATCAAAACATTTCACTTCTTTGTTTTAAAAGTAAGGAAGGTTTAGCACTTTTGGAAATGGAAAAATATTGGGGTTTCCATATGTATGTCCGTATTTTGGCCCTAAAGACACACAGCCCGTTTCCACTTATGGCCATTGTAGGAACCACGCTACAAATTAGTGTTATGTGTAGAGTGAATGATAACCAATCATGATAGATTAATACATAAATCTGAATGAGTATTTGAAAAGACAATTGGGTTAACTCAAAACCGTAAAACGTCACCACTTCTTGAGATCTTTGTTTAAATTAATAAAGCAACTAACAGTCTCAAGGGTTCAAAAAAGAAAATCTAGATGACTTTTTCTTAATTTATGAAAGTAGGCTAATTTTGAGATTGTTTTTCTGCCATATCTTTAAAATCTAGTTATGAAGAGTACAGAGAATCTTGAAAGACTGATACATTAAAATTAACCTTGGTGTCATTATCACAGAGTTACAACTTAAGTATGGGGAAGTGTTAAAGAACTTTTCCCAGTCACTTAAAAATTAGTTCCAAGGTCAGATCCTCTGGGAAACTAATATCATGATTTATTGATTACTTGTTCAGTGCATCATTTTTCATCCTCAGCGATGTGAGGACCAGCTGGCTTGGGAGAACATGTATTTCTTGGGAGAGACAACAGACCTGCGGACTAATGTCAAATCAACTATTTGTCTGTGTTGCTTGAATGTAATCTACCCTTTGAAGAGTGTATCCTCCCTAGTCCTTGCTCACTCTCATTTGTGATCACAGAATATTTTGATCATATTTGTGTCAACAGGGGATAGAGAAAGAGGACGAGGCTAGGAGTCATAAGGCTTGTGCTCCAGACCCAGTTACCAGAGTGCTGTACTACTTTGGACATTATTACTTTTGTATCACCCTTAACGTCTCAGGGTCTCCATTGGCCTGTTTGCAAATGAGGAGTTTGGGTTCCATGATCTCAAAGCTGTCTTTGAGTTCTAATATTTTACTCTTCTTTCTTTACCTAATGTTGTACATCAAAATATCAGATTTAGCACTCATTGAGTTCTATTTCAAAATGAATACTTATAAGCACATTGAATTTAG